ACAGACGCCCAGGACTGTTTTTTAAAAAGCGAGTTTCTACGATTAATTATATTACACTAAATGACCCATTGTCAAGAGAAGATCTAGCTAATCTCTCCCTAGAGTTATCAGATGTTTGTAAATGAAATTAGCAGGAATAGTCTTTAAGAATTTTGCATGCTTGATTTTAAAATAATATCACAAAGCTAAACATTTTCAAACAGTAAATTGATTCCTAAATTACATAAACACCAACTCTTCTCCAAGCACATGATAGGACTGAGAATCTCTCTGAAAAGGGATAAGAGTATACAGTGGCCCATTTGGTAATTTTCTACTATATGTCCATCCCTTCCCTCACTTAACCCACTCCCTATGAGGTCCCAGAAATACCAGGAAATGCCTTAATAATGACACTTTAACAACTTGTAGTAAAAATTACAAGGTACAGAGCAGTGGTCTCAAACAGTGGTTCTCTGATATGAAACTTTTCAGAAATGCAAATTCTCAGGCCCTACTCCAGACTTAATAAATTGGAAACTTTCAAGGGTGGTGGGACTCAGCAATCTGTGTTTGAATAAGCCTTCAGGGTGACTCTGGTATTATTTTAAAGTTTGAGAACCTCTGCTATAGACTAATTAGAACAAGAATTTCAAGAGTCTTTGTGTCTTCTCAAAGGTGATAGATGTTTTATGAAGTAATTGTAAGAGCTTTAGGGATATGATCACAGTAATTACTGCCTACTCTAATTCTACTGCAATATATATGCTCAAAGCTGATTTTAGTAGATAATTTTATTAGCTTTTGTTTAGATTTGCATAAACCAGTCCAGTATTAAGATGACAATAAGGTCACCTTATAAGATGTTAAAAGAGACTGAACCTTAGGTTTTTCTTGGGTCAGCTGAGGAAAGTGACTTGAGAAGTTATATATCCTAGAGAAGCATGCACTTCTCTTGTGTAATCACATATAACATTTACAACTTAATCACAAGGTATGTAATAATTTGTTTAATTTGCTTAGAAATTAAAAGGGATCATATTATCAACCTAGGCAAAATATAACTAGGAAAAATAATATACTGAGTTGGGAGGGAAGATTCCATCTCACTCTAGGGCAAAACATTTTATTTTGGTTTTACCATCATGCTTGCCTTTCTCTGTTATGATGCCTTAAAACAACTCCTAATAAGTTTCCAAACCAACTATTTTTTTGTGCTTCTACAAAATTTCTAAATTTTGCATGGTCAAAAAGCAGAGGGACCCTTAAGAGACAAGTGCCTCTGGGTAGAGGAGTGACATCTGGAAATGTGTCCTTGGCACAACTCCCAAGTAAGAAGAGGTTCTTTTCTTCCCTAGGGGAGGAAAAAAAAAACCTTCCCGTGATTTAAGGAGTGAGCATCTTGAGCAGCAAGGACATATTAACTTGTTTAAGAGAGGCATGGAATCTCATTCTCCAGAATCACAGGACAGCGGCTGTTATACCATCAAACTGCTCCCTCAGAGCTGCCCAGGGTTTTAGGAGCTCCTAATAAATCTGATGGTGGTATCACTTAAATAATAATCACTCTGAGTGGTGATTGTTAAAATGAACCAGCACCAGCTGAGATATTCCACATTGATGTTTTAAATTAAGTTGAATACTCTCTCAGTTAATGAGTAAATATCAGGTGTGTCAAAGATGAGCCACTATCTTTCTAAAATTCATGCTGGAGTGTAGAATTTAATCAAACAGAATATGTGGCAAATACATTCCGTTCTGAAGGAAATGTTTCTAAAAAGTTGGATGGGCTTGGCTTAGGTATCAAGATTAAAGGTAAATGCAGTCACCATATCAAAATTCATTATTTCTTGAAAAAATTATTACTATCAAATAAATGAATGTCCACAACTAGAGGAAAGCAAGAAAATATTAAATGAAACTCTCTTACCAAACATTGAAAATAGCCTGTTTATCATAATGAAAAATTTTAATAAAATTTTAATTTTTTCCAGATTCATCAAATTGTTCATAAAATGATAACATTTTATATTGTTGTCACCAGTTATACAGCATAGCCTTCAACAGCTAATGCAAGCACTGTGACAGTGAAGCCTAACAAGATAAGCAGGCCAACTGGTGGTATAAAGTCATAGCAGCTGACACCCTGCCCCAAGAGGAAGCAGTATTTTTTTCCTAACGTAAGAGCTGAAAGCAATTTTTTCTCATTTTCAAAGTGAGATGTTGGGTTTTCTCTTGCCAAAAGGGTATCATTTTACATTTCATTTACGCAGCACTCTATTCAAATGAATCTAAGTGATTCAATACATCAATATTAAACAGAACAGTCCTGCTTGTCATTTTCTCTCAACACTATGAAAAAATTGCTCAGTTTATGATATGCATTTTTTGCTGAAATTAATAAAAAGGAAAAAGGGGGAAGGCCTAAAGCAAATAGCATCTTATTTTCATGAACTATATACATTTTATTATTTGCCATACATACAGTACTCATTAGACGTGAGCATATGGTGGAAGCCAGGGCTTTTGTGGCGAAATCAAGCTTATCAGGTTTGCCTGTGCATAATATCAACCAAGAAAATGCTCTCTAGTGTGTGCGTGCGCGCTTCACACCAACCCCCCTTCCCCCCGCCCCCTTGTCCCCTCTCTCTCACTCTCTCTCACTCTCACTCTCTCATTCTCTCTCTCTCACTCTCTCTGGCCAAAGAAATCTGAGATCCTGCAAGAGCTGACCTGATCTAAGCCTGGGATTAAACACTAATAAAAGTACTGGCTGAAGCTACACCACAGATAAAACTAAGCACTGATGATTTAACAGGTCAGATTTACCACTGCATTTGCTGTGAGAATTATTCATGAATTACGGCATCTAATTTCACTACTGGAAAAATTTAATAAATAGGAATCTCATGGCCTTCATGTTAATAGCAGCTTTTCCCAAGCTTTAAATATAAAGACAAGGCAAAATGAAATAAAGAACTACTGGAAAGTGTTTATTCTGAATAAACTCTTTAATGAATGGTTATAAAACATGGACCTGATCTGACTATGATTACAGCAAAGACAGCAGAAAGCAATAAGTATCCTGTTATGTGTATTATCTCAGTAATAGGAAGAGGCATGCCTCAGTTCACTATACATTATTAAAACTTCATTCCAATATTTCCTGAGCTCAGTAGTAAGTTTTATGAGCCCAGTAAGAATTTAAAAAAAAGAAGGCCATACCTCTGCAAACTGAAACAAGGCTGATGATTGACACTGTTTTGAAGGAGCATTGGGGTGAGATGTACTTGAAGATATCTGAAAGGAAACAAGTGATTTTTAATGCACAAGGACATTTTCTCATATCAGACTAATAGATTCTGCCATATATTTCCATCACAGACACTGATAAAGATTAAGACATAAGTCATCACCCTCAATCCCTTTTAGAACAACAATATAAACGATAAAGGAAGAAAAAGGCCACATTTCTAAAAACAGATGATCGAAAAGAACAAAAAGACTGAGTTTGGCTCATTTGCCATGTCTCTTATAAGGGTATTAGGTATGTGTCAAGTAGCAGTTGAGACCTGTTGAGATGAATTTCCCTATTTCAATGAATTTCTTAAAATATTATTAAAAGCTGTATGCTGCAAGTAAAGCCAGTCACTCTCTCCCTTCCCTATATCACACCCCCCAAAGCTGTTCTCTGCTTAGAGGCAGTTGTGAAACAATATTGGAGAAGCTTATGGATATGGGTGAGGGTATCTGCGATTGAATTTTAGCTCTGCTCCTCACTAGCTACATGAACTTGGGCAGCTCCAGCTGACCTTTCTGAGACTAATTTTTCCCAACTATAAATTGATGATGATGATGATAATTCTTATTTTATGGGATCATGGTGAGAAGAAAATAAGCCACACAACACATTGCCTGGCACGGCATTAAAACTCAAACTGTTCACTGAATATGAATAGCATTTCTTTCTTTTATGACACCATGCATTCTCCTGCCCAGTGTGCACGCACATGTGCACACACACACATACACACACACTCAGTTGTCTGACAGTGGATAAAGGATTCTGCAATACCACACTTGGTTCAACTAGGAGACCTTTTATTTCCCCTTGGTAATTATGGTAGCTTCATCAGTTTGCTCTGAGAGCTATGTGGAAAAACTTTCCAAGTATGTTTTAATTTTTATTCCAAAGTGAATGAGCTTCTATCCACATACAGTATAGGGTAAAAGTGAGTCACAAGAACAGAAAGCCTGGACATTATAAATTCCCAGTCCAATAATAACTCTTCAACCACAAAAATCATTTTTTCATCTTAATTAAGTTGGTTAGAAAAACAACGGAACCAGTTGGTGATACAGTATCAAAGTGATGTTTAAAGATGAGAAAGAATTAGTAGAGAGGCTGATGGAATTATTTTTGACTATTCACTGCTGAAGCCAATAGGAAAATTTTAATTCCACTGTAAATTTTGAATCAGACATATAACCATTTTTAGAATGTCAGTAAAAAGAAAAAAAAAAAAACCTCCCAGATCCTATTTAACAAACTAGATATAAACAAACCATCATAAGTGGGTAAGATTTAACCAAGTATTCTAAAGACACTGAAGACATATGAGGGTAAAGTTGTAGAACTCTTCTTGGTCAAACCACAAAATCTATCATCTCAAAAGACCACATTTGCAATGTGACAGACTGCAAATATGAATCCACAAAGACTATCAACTAGGTAGGTTTTACTTCAGATACCACTTTTCATTCCTACCAACCTTCTATAAAAATTAGAAAAAAATAAACAGTTTATGTAAGGGAAAAATGCTTAACCTACAACACATTTCTTCAAGGCTTAAAAATCAGACATTGAACAAAATAGAATTGGTGATATAAACCATCTAGATTTCTGAAAAGCATTTCACAAGTTTCTAAACAAAAAGATATTTTACAAATTAATACTAGGATAAAGGAGATATTCAGTTAATGACATGAATAGGGAGCTCCTGAAGAAATACTAGATTGGGGACCCTTTATATAAAACAGCAGGGTTGAGGATCTCTTTGGGATGCCGTAGAACTTACAAAAATGCACGTATGTCAAAACCAACAAATTTCATATAAAACTTTAGATCTATAAGGGTTCAGAAATCAATGGTTAAGCATCTCTACTTTCAAAGTTGGAACCAACATTATTTCACATGTCTGTAACTACTGTAGAAAAGGTAGTGTGGAGTGAATCCTCTATTACATTAATTCCTAAAGAAACAATATACAAAACAATTGGAATTCAGGGCACATCTCACACAAAGGCAGAAAGGAAAGTGATAGATCAGGAGCATTACGTCGGCAAATATATAACATTCTTGTGCCATCTTGCAAAGCACTTAGGCATGTTATAAAAAACGTCTTAAAAAAGAATGGCCGAAGATGCCACTGTGAAAAGAGGTTTTGCCAGTGAAATGTTGAGAATCACAGGAAAGGACATTAGAGAGGAAGGAAAATCTGAAACTATGCTCTCCTTGTGCAAAACTGTTACACACTGGTCAATATTAGGAAGGATGACAGTGTGAGAGAAGGTCTAGTGAAAGACAATTCAAATGATCAAGGGAAGACCAAGTGTTTTAAAGTTCAGAAAAAATTAATCAATGATGGCTTCATATTGAGTTCCAGGGTAAGTGAAGATATTTTGGAAAGCAGTCTTAACCTTTACACTTGATATCAAGGGTAATGTGTTTTCTACATCATCTCTTTGAACCAATGTTAGAGATGTATTGAGCCCAATAGGTTTGACACAAGACAATAAGACTTGGAAAACTGTTACTGCATGCTAAAGTTTCAATTAAAAGAAAAGTGTACTAAAAAGGGGGGGGAATCCATAGCCAATAACTAACATGAGTTGATTCTGTCTCCTGATTTAACACCTGATATATAACTAAGTTCTAACAATAATTTAATTATATTCTTTATTATCCATAAATAAAAATTACTGATGAGACTTAAGTGGAATAATATTTAGTATGTCTTAATAATAAGCTTTTATAAACATATATAATTATTCCTTAATTAAGAGACTGGCGTTCCAAAATATCTTTTCTAAAATTTGATTCTACTTTCCCATTTATGGCTAATTGAGCTAAGTAAAGTTCTTCATTGTTGTAAGTTACTGTCATCAGCCCAAATTTAGGCTCACTTTACAATTTTCTCATTAAGTATAAATCATAACATATTACCTCAGCAAACTGAAATAATGGTGACTTCTGACGCAGTTCAGGGGATTCTGAAACATCAGGCTTGCAACTGCCAGAGGATACCTAAAACAAAGAAAGATGGTATGGAGCATCACAGGACAGTTTCTGGAATATAACGGAAGATAAATGCCACCTAAAATGTTCCTATCTGAGGAAAAAATGGTTTTGATTGTCCCTAAATTTTAGTCAATATTGTGACAGAAAAGTAGTTATATTGTGTAATGTTTTATAAAAGGGCCATTCACCTGCAAATAATGCCATAAATAGCAGAGGCTGAGCAAGACAATGCATTTTAGAAAGCTAATATTCATCTAAGAAAAATTTGTACAATGATGCCCATTTGATCTCTTGGCTTTCTGCCACCAAATCCAAGTGTATCTATTTCTTTCATGTTCTGTGTTTCCCCAATATTTCATACCACCAGACTACATGAAAATGCAAATGAGATTTGAAATTATAAATCTTATGAAAACAAAACTAAAATCAAATTCTTGTTTGCCTAGGTATCTTAGAAAGGTTAGTATTTTTACCTAAGAGAAATTTCTTTTATACTATATATTTTCTTTTGTGCTATTTACTATGTTGGGTAAACATTTATGGCTCTTCTGGCTTCATCTGTGATCTTCATTATTAACAACAGTTACATAAACATCACTGATTTTTTTCAAAATTCTTGCTATCAAGTCTCCTCTCAGGATACACATTTCCTCTTTTATCTCAATGCTAAAACTGACTCGTTTCTGCATTTGGGTGAATAATAACTTAGGTAGTCAACTGTAATTCAAAAGTCACAGGAATCACAATGTTAGAGAAGGAAGGATTTTATCATTCCTCTGATCTAACCCTTTTTAAAGACGGACTTAGTGCCAGAGAGGCAAATGATACCTCCCCTCCCCAACATTCAACAATCTTCTCATTCTTCATCATTATGGCAGTTAGTACTGATGACTGCAAGACATAAATATCTGTTTATTGTCCATCTTCTCCCAGGAGATTTGTTTAATGCAGAATCCTCAACACTGCCAGGTCACAACATAAATACTCAACAAGTATTTGCTGAACGAACTAAATGAAAGTTGACAACAAGTCTTCTGAATCTCAAATCAGTGTGCCCTTCCCCCTTTCTTGAACAACAAGGTTAGTGAATCTTAGGGGACAAATGTATTTTTAAAAAACACATTAATTTTCCTGTATTATTAAACCTTTTCCAATGTAATTTTAATAGTTGCCGATTATATTGGATTGTTAAATCCAGTAGAAAGAGCTGACAGTCACCCAGGTTACATTCCTAAAAAGAGTTTCTCACTGAATCTTTTCATGCGACATTGAAGATGTGTTTCTCTAACAGTATCATAGAGCACTGGGCAGAAGAAAATATTTGAAATTTTGTTGCTTTCGGATTTGAAAGAGTGATGGTCACTTCCTTCCAGTAATAATCCCCATAGAGAAGATGCAGAAGTCTTAATTTGCCACCTGTAGTTTGGCTGCCAAAGTCTAACTCCCTTATCAGCATTTAACTATTTGACAAGTTGTGTGCCAAATTGCCCAATAATGTTTTTATTTGTTTCCCAAGGATTCAAAGCCAGGGAGACACAAAATGCACTGAAAAGAAGACCAATGAATCTTGAAATTATAAGCTACAAAAAATTCTTTTGTAAGAATAAATACTTGAACAAAATATATCTTTATACTATAATTTAGGAATAATAAAAAAATCAATACTATCCTGCTTTATAAAGAAATCCTGTGTGTTTAGCCTCTAGATATCTTGATAAAGAATCAAATTTGATTTAAAATCAAGCCTACAGCTAAATGAAAATTTGTAAAAGTCTTTATAAAACTTTAATGTTGGTTGTACACATGACAGAAACCTATAATCAAGATATCTGGAATTAAATAATTATCATTTAAGGTTGCTATACTGTATAAAGCCTATATAATATATATTATTTTACATCTCATGACGCATGAGAAATAGTTACCATTTATGAGATAAGTTACCCTAGGGCTTAATTAGAGTTCACATTAACTGTAAGAAGAAAAGTCAACTTTCTTTCAAGCGCCATTTCTATTGTTTGGCCATAACTACACATAAGTCATAAAATTTTAAAGTTAAATGAGACCCTCTGCAAATTATTATGATGAATGGTCATAAATAAAACTTTCTATTTGAATGGAGAATTCAAATGTAAGTAATTATCAGGGTATCTATAATCCTGCACATTATGTCAACTGTACTATGCAATCAAAGAAGTCTATGCGTGTGTTATTAGTCAGAGTCCCAGGCCTCATTACTTTGATGTTTGTATTTACAATACTCTAAGTTAGTTATTAGGTGGGGCATGCTTTTTATGGATAAATATCAATTCCTATGCTAGCATCAGCTTACTTTCTAAATATAACAGAATATAAAGAGTCAAAGATATTTGTTCATTAATTAAAAAGAAAAGACACCAAATAAGCAGAAATTAAATAAAGGGAGGAAAAAACCCAAGTAGCTGCTTCTAGAAATAGTATCTGAAATAATCCATAAAGCCACTAGGTGTAGCTATATGCCCAAGAAAGAAAACAGCTAAAAAAATCTCAAAAGCAAAGTTTTGTTAACTGCATTATTCAACTTCCTTTAAACTCAATCTTCCCTTTGATTTAGCTATAATTTGCAATAACCATGGAAGAGAAATGATTAGTATATTTAAGAATTATGATGAAGTAGCATTTTTTCCTCAGGTACAATTCAGATCGTGAAAACTGTAGACATAGAAACATGATCCAGGCCCCTGACATAAAACAAAAATCACACCAGTCAGAGGCACTGCAAGTGCTTTGGAAAGCAAGGTATTAGCAAGAGACTGTTCCTATTTGCAAGGCACAAAACCACTGTCATCCATAGCTGGATTGTGATGAACACACAGTCAACAACAAAAGGAGTAAGTGCACTGATTGTATCTGAATTGCACATTGCTGCCCTTGCTATTTTGAGTATTTATTGATTACTCACTCCAACAAATATTCAGTAAATACCTATTATGTGCCAGCCACAAAGACTGCTGCTTTCAAGAAGCTTACATTCCACTTGTATGCATCCTTTGCTGGGGAATAAAATAAGACTAAAGGAATGTTGTTTGTTTAAATGCTTGCAATTCGAATGCAGGTGATGGCTACGCACATAAGAATGTAAGTGCATAATGGTAGAATATTATAAGACCTATAGAAGGACAGAGAAGCCGTCATTCTTTCTGGGAATGGGAGGAAGTAGTTAAGATAAGTAACATATGAGATATACCTAGAAGGAACACCAGAATTGTGGAGATGATGTGGTACAAGCAGGAGGGAGAGTATGGAGGCAAGTGCCCTGTGTGTTTGAGAAAGTTTCTTTTCCAGTGTGGCTGAAGATTAAGATGCCTGGGAGTGTAATGGGAGATGAATGAAACAGAGAGAAATCTGAATTCTATGTTAACTTTGAAAAGTAGGCTGAAGGTAATGGGAGCTGGCCGAGGTTTTCAGTCAGAGAAGTGACATAATGAGAGACGTGTAGTTAGATAATTCAGTCAGTGGTGTGCAGGATGACCTTGGTTGGGGAGTGACTGAAGGTAGGAGAACAATTAGTAAGTTAAGGAAATAAACCAGCTGAGACATGAGTCCCCGATTAAATCAGAGATGTTATTTTGCGAGACCTCAGCAACTGTCTAGAAGAATGTTGGGGGTGAGGAAGAGGAGTCAGACAATGCCAGTGTTTCTAAGGCATGTTAAAGCCTTTCTCTGAAAGAGGGGATATGAGAGAAGGAAGAAGATTTAGGCAGAAGTTGGGGGTGGGCTGTCTGCTATGGGAGAAGAGGGTTTGGGGGTAGAGGATTCCATTTCAGAGTTCAAGTGTAAGGATCTTGACTACAAGGCCCAGTGATCTGACTCTTACTCTTGTTCAGCCTGACTCAGCCCTTTTCCACAATTGGTAGCTTTTGCCAGGTATTCTTCCATAAAAGAGTACCTGAGTGGCCATGTAACATGAGATGTAAAATGAAACTGTAGAATGGACTTGATCTTAAATGCAAGTGAATTAAGCATATTACATCCAAGTTAGTCCTTCAAAATGTTTTTAAGGACCAAAATGAAACCAGTCTTAATTAAACCTAAATTAGGTTAAGCAGAACCTGTGTACCACACTTGGCTGGCTGACCCCAGGACTGAGCTACAGTTGAGGAGAGGTTTGGGCTACCCTGGGAAGCATAACCAAATAATGCTGCACAGAACTAAGTGCTCCCCAAGCTAGAATACATGTCAAGTCATCTTACTAAAAAGGAAGAGTAAGTTCTTGGTTTTATCAGGGCACTAGGGCTAGCAGTCTACTAACTTCATGCTGTGAGTCAAGTTCTCTTGTCATTACAGGCTATGTGGCAGAGCACCAGTATGGAAGTCCCAGAACAAGCTCCAGGCCACTTGTACAAACAACTGCTACCCCTTCCCACCACCTCTGAGAGACTGAGGAGCTCATGAAAGTTCATCACTGTCTAAAGTAATGCAGCCTGGGAACTCATCAAGGATAGATGCTTGTCAATCAAGTTGGGTAAAAGGACCTGATTCTCTGGGCTTTGAGCTCCACTGCTAACAGGTGGGCTGAATGGACAGTTCCAACCAAAATGGACAGTTAAGACTGGAAGTCTCTACCCAGGAAGAAAGTCTGAAGAGCCCATTTGTATTCAATGTAAAATTTAAATATGTATATTTCCTCACAAAGTATGTTTAGAAGCTATAAAAGTGTAAGAAAGGAATAAAAGCTTTGATAAGATGGGGTAAGAGTTAGGGGGTTTGGAATTCAATGGATTTTAGCATTCCGAAGGAGCCTAAGGGGAAAGGCACATATCAAACTAGCTCAAATGTACCAAAAGGTCAGAAAATTATTTTCCCCACTTCGCTGATGTCAGAAATTAAAGGTAAAAATTTTCAATTTTATTTAAATCCTTATTTGTTTTAAATTTAACACTTGCAGTATTTAAAATATGGACATAATCATTTATTCACTTAAGTATTGATATAATCACCTTTTCTCTTATCTCAGATTTCACCTAGCTCATCATTTAATGAAAAATATATGGGTTTAAAGCCTAGTATTACAACATCATCTCTCTATGACCTTAGAGAGGCTATTTAACCTCTCTGGCCTAGTTTCATCATTTATGAAATAGAGATAATAATAATAATAAATCAACCTCATAGCACACACAGGAGGACAAAATGAGATCATCAGTGTAAGTGCTTAGCACAGTGCCTGGCCCCGAGAAAGCACTTGTGAAATGCCCTCTAAGGGTGGAGCACAGGACTCTCTGAATTATATCGCTTCCTGCCTTTATCTTTAAATTTTAATTTAGCTTTAAATTTTTATTAAAGTAACAAATATAACAGTATAGAAGATTTTTAGTCCTGCAGATTACCTCTAGAAATTCCAGATCAAATACTTATACTTTATTTATTGCATTTTCATCTGTAGATAATAACTCCCTGATATGAAATCTAAGGGCTAAACTCTCTTAATGCAACTGCCTTCTCTTTAGCTCTTCCCAGAGTTTGATGTGAACATTATTACTTTTATTTCTTCAACTTTTTCTTTCTTGTTCTTTTAAATTAAAAAGAAAATATGATCACTTAAATCTTTGGAAATTCTGTTGAACAGAATAGCTGTCTGCAGCCCACTGCTAGCCTAGTTTTTGGCTAACACATATCATATTTCATTGATTGAACAACTTCCACTTGATTTCTGATTTAAATAGGTTTGCTAAAACCTCATATTCATTGGGAACACTCCTTTCCATTTCCTTCACTACTATGGGGTTATTTCCTAAAGAGACTTCTGTGTATTTTACCAGGTATCAGTAGAGACAAGCTAAGTCCGCTATTTTGAGTCAGGGGTCACTTTCCTTAATGTCTGTCTTGCTCAATGCATCTATTTTGCTTCCTCAATCCAGAAATTCTTTAATGACAAACACTGCTTTTTAAAATTTATCCCAAATATTTAATTTAATGTAAAAATGTTGACCTAATAATGCCACAAATCTTTTATGACAGACTCAGAGTTAATCAGAAGACCGAGGAAAAAGAGAAAATGCAAACATTGTTTGTCATTATTTGTCCACTGATAATCTCAAGGGCCTCTAATTTCTCTCAAACTCTAAGAACACTTCAGGTAGACATGGAATTTTATTATTTCAGGTACATCAAGACTATCTATCTTCTAGAAATAAAGGGAAAAAAACTATTACCTACATTAAAATTTCTCAATTAAAAAAATAAGACTTTTGAGGACTTTTTCTATGTGGTTAGGTTTGAGATCAAAGAACAAAGGAAAATCTCCTCCCTTTAAGAATATTTCAGAATAAGAATTACATCATGGCATTTAAAAAGCCATTATGATGAGACTTTCTCTGTGGCAGAATTTTTGTAAAAATCTCTATTTTATTTGACTGGTCCTACCTAACAGTATAAACAGACTTTACTGTAATTGTTCCAAATGTCAGAAGTATAAAATTTCTATATCTCTCTTCTCACCTTATTATCCTGCTAATTTTCTTTAAAAAATTTAGTGCATACTTACTATAGTTACCTTAGGTTCATCATCTACCTATATAGATAAGCCCCCAAAATTCCATGATGATATCTACATATTTGGAATAAGACTCTGAACAGAAATCAGGTGCTAAATAAAGTCTACTGACATCTATGACATGAACTCTTTCTAACCATATTTAACGACAGCATTATTTTATACAACGTTCACCGCTTTACTGTTTTAGTATCTCAAGATTATTTTCAATAATGACCTAAATAGCTCTGAGATAAGTAAGAGATTATTAAGAAAAAGTTGTATTCTTTTTCTTACATAAGTCTGGTTTTAATTTACATTGTCAAGTATATTTACATTGTCAAAAGCTAACTTCATTTATATTGTCAAAAGTTAACTTCATTTTGACAAACATCTGAAATGCCTCACTCAAAATGGTAAGAAATAAAGTGACTGTAAATAGATGTTGAGTTTTTCCTTAATAAAAGCAGTAACTGTTCGAAATGATTTTTTTTCTATTTATGCCTGATATTAGAATATCTATCCAGGCACTCTCCCCAGTATCCTTCTTACTAACAATCTTAGTTTATACTGTGTTTCCATTCTTTACCGTCACCCATCACATGAATGTATATTATCCTGTCACTTTATTAAATAGTTCCTTTCTTAAAGCAACAAAAACAAATCATTTGAAAGTGCAGTCTGTATAAAAAATTGTATTCTTAGAAGTAGTTCCTAAAGACCTAACTGCTGACAACTTCTTCCTTAGCAGAGACTCTTCTCCTATATGGTTCATTTCTTTAAGCCATTTAACTTTCTTTGTTTCTTTCATTTGAGAATTCTCAAAATGGTTCCCCTTCATCAGAGATAAAAGGTTGAACACTGCTTGGTCAAACTCTGCTGTTCTTAAAAGTGGGAAGAACTTCACACTAAAAAGAGCCTAAAAGTTGAACTTTAAGCAAAGAAAAAAAGTATTCTTTTGTTTGGCATTTTCATCTATTGCTAAATTTTATAAATGTTTATTGTTTGCATTTGTTCCTGAAAGTTAAAAAGAATGCAAATAAATGTTAAGAAGAAAACATCATTTTAATCTAATCTGTTAGAAAAGATGAGGCTGACTTTCACAATACAGTGCATTGTTGGAAAATATGAGTTAGACTATGTTGAAAGGTCAAGTGTGATTATTCCAACATTCACCTTTCAGAACATGCTTGGGAACTGCATCCAAGTGAGAGTTAGTCTGATTGCTATTAGGTAGCAGCCATAAGTTAGAAAGTGAAATGATGACCAAGAATGTTATCGTGTTAGGAAGTTCAACATGCTGAATAATGAGTATGCAAAGGCACATAGTAGTATGTTTACTTTTTTCAGCTAAAGATTAATACAATGTAAATAACTATTATTCTAGCAACTTACACACTTTTTGCTCCACTGAATTGAATGGAATCAAAATAATTAAGTTAAATAGAACATTTGGTCAACTACCATGGATCCCAAATGTAAACTATATATAATAAAAGCCTTTTGTGATGTAAATATCTTATATGGCATCTTCTAAAATGACTATTTGAACAGGCTTCAACTGTAACCCGTAACCTGAATGGCACACTCACAATTTAAAAAAATAGTTAAA